GGGTTTTTTTTCTCCTCCTTTCCGGCAGCCAGGGTTTTATTTCCGGGCCCCCAGCCCCCGGGGGTTTGCCCGCGTTTTTCCTCCAGGGGGGGGGGGGGGGGGGCTCTCAGCCAGTAGAGGAGGCCGGCAACCTACTTGCCCGATTGTATGTTTTGTATCCCACATGTTCACTTAATCGAGAAAAACCCAGTCTGCAAGGCTGCTGAGAGTCAAGCGCTCGAAGACCGGAAAGGCCACCCTTTGTTTGTTCTGGCTCTTAAGTCCGGACAACCAGCGGCAGGCGAGCACATGCGGAGCACGGAGCCCCTCTTCCGGCCGTCGTAGCGGCGGCCGTCGTGTCCACAAATGCATACATGCATGTTCCGCCTGTGGCGTACCCTGATCCACCTTTCTGCTGCGCTCGCTCATTGCGGTATATATTCTACCTCCCCTGAGAGCCAGTCCTCCAAACGAAGGATGGCCTTGCCGTTTTGTTGCCGCTCCCTCCCGCCGGGGCCTCCAAGCGAAGCGCGCTCGTCTCCCTCTGGCCCGGCCTAGTTGCAGAGTCAGCAAGCAGGGGTATCTCGCCCCTCCGTGCATTGCCTGCCACCAGGTCCGTCGCCGCCGCACTGGGTACATCTCTCCCTCTCTGCTGCTGTCGCTGTTCCTTGTCGAGGATTTATTACGCCCGAGCGCCATGTGCCTGCTGGCGCCATGCCCGGCTGGTGGGTGAGAGGACAGAGGGAGGGCGTCCAGAGGCGAGCACAGCTGCCGCTCTCTCTCTCTCTGTCTCTTTGAGTTCTTCGTTTTCCTTACACATTTCTGTTTACGAGTAATTGGTTGGTCCTCCTCCCGGTGTATAAGGGTGACGGTAGAGAGGAAAAGGCCGTAGTTTCCGCTGACGATATGAATTATTCATTGCTAGTTTGCTGTAGTCTATTGTAGACTCTTTTTCTTTAGGATGCAGATGGATTCGTTGGGTCATGTTCATTAAAAAAATAAATAAAAAAAGGCTAAAAAACGAGCCCATGGAGTATAGCGCTGCTGCGGCTCCCTGCGAACGTGAGAACGCACGTACCACCTCAGCAAAGCCGTCCAACAACGTGACGCCTGGTGCTGCATTTATATGGACTGTTTATTTATTTTTCGCTATTTTTCACTTACCAAACGTGACGGACTCAAAAACGTTCACTGCCTCCAATACTCTCGGTCTTTTTTATATCTACCATGTTTGCATACCATATACAAGTATAACACCGAGCGAGAGAGCAAGACGTGTTGTAAAGAATGAACAAAGACCAGGCCCCTTGGCCCCTTGGTGCTCGGCACGCACGCTCAGAAAGGTAGTTTGCGGCGGACCACCGCTAAGGGGTTGGGGCGCAGACAGGTTCGGAAAGTCCGACTGGCGCCGAGCTTTGTGCATCGGACTATCCAATCCTCCTCTGCTGTTGTACATACCAAATTCCCGCGATAGTGGGCGGCGCAATCCTCCTCTATTGTATGCTACCATGTTGCAGCGATATTGGACGGCGTGTCGTGTTGAGCGACGCCGCGATGTGTGGGGGAGGGGGGGCAGGGTCGTGTGCCCGCTTTCGTCCACGTGCAAGAGTTGACGCCATGACACAGCGTTAAAAGCTGGGGTGGCACATTTTGAGTACAAGTATCTACCATACGACCGCGAAAATCTACTTGGCCTACATTTCCCCGTCGTACGCGGGGTACCCGTGGGGATGGAATTAATTGTTTAGGCGGAATCAAGCTATTGTTGTCCTCGTGCGCGAAGGAACGAAAGACGACCGCACTATTTAGTCAAAGGAATCTGCGCGTTGCCATGTGATTCATGCGTGAGGTTGCAGGCTTTATATCGCTCCTGCCCTCTCCCCTGAGACTTGCTGTGGATTCCTCTGTTTCGTGTCGCTCTCCTTCGCTTTTTTTTTTTCCGATACCCTTGTCACGGATAATTAGAGTTTCAACGGGTTACCACTATCACTCACACATGTTTGTTTAGGGATTTTACTGAGTTTTTCTTTCCTTGTCAAGGATAACGTAAACTTTACACGGAACTGGTTACCACCATCTCTCAAACCTGTTAAGCTTTGTTAGGGTTTTACTGAGTTTTTCTCTCGTTGTCAAGAATAACGTAAACTTTACACGG